ACTTGATGGAATCTTTAGTAAGGAAGAAAAACAGTAATATTCTTAATAGAGGGATAAGTTAAGAATACAAGTACTGTTTAACAACACGATATGTAAAAAGTAATATTCTTATAGCAGGCATAAGTTAAGAACAACAAAGGCCGTTTAATAAAATGGCAGAAAAATTATGATAACGAGCTACTTTGATTTGTCAGAGCGTGCGCGTTTATCTTGATTTGTCAGAGCATACGCGTTTATCTAACCATTTATTATAATATAACCGTAAATGTTTTATTTGAAAAATCACTTTAGCGTTTTCACTGTGACAAAAATCTGGGCAACTCAGTTCCATCTAGATATACAGTTTTTAATGACTTTTACCTGCCGACTGACTATAAGATTTTACGTTATCATCAGAGAGTGTCGTCTTTTATCCTAGCTTGAATATATATATATCCATTCGTTCATCATTGCTTACTAAACATTAGAGTAGAGCAAGCATACTGAAGCTCGCGCAAAGGTGACAGAAAAAAATAAAAACACTCTTTGATCAGCAACGAAAAATAAGAATACACAATTATGATAACATTAATTTGGAGTTTCAGTTTCACTTGCTCCCTAGTGACGTTTTCATATTAGAGTATTGTAAGTATATATAATAGCACTGTGTGTGTGTGTTCCAAATGTAGTTTGTTCTGATTTGTAATAGTAAACGAATTTACCGTATAAATAGTACAGTAATACCTTACTAAAATACTTGTGTGTTTGATTATAAATCTCTTGAACGCTTCTCTACAAAATCCTGCATTTTATACATATATTAGCATCTTGAATTGTGAACAAAATCCGTCATAAAGGCTTTTAGAGTAAAGACAGAGGACGTGTCTGTTTAATTGACGATTTAAGAATGTTTCGCACTTTTTCTTATGCATCTAACGACGACCTACTTTCTTTCAATAGGTTTACATTCTTTATGTTTTCTTTTCTGTTAACAAGAATTCCACCTTAACGTGACTTTTCCCGTGCATTGTAGCACATCTTGACTGACAAGTAGAAAGAGGTAAAGACTGATATAGTCATACCATATATAGTTTGGTGAAGGTCCACGTGTTATGTGTATCTAATTTGGTTAGGTTTAACAAGGTTAACCAGGAAAGAAAGACCAAGCTATAAATTTACTTTATAGTCGTCGCCTTTGATTCTCAAAGCTTATTATACGAAATACTTGTAACCAAATATTCCAAAGTAATGTAAAGAACAAATGTTCGTTAATGGGCGCGGGAATCATGCAAAAAGTATCGTCTGTTATCTTAATAGTGCATACATTTTACACAATTTGATTTGTAGCAATTTATAAAATACATGTTACACATTAAGAAGAAAGGGTAATGTTACACATTAAGAAGAAAGATGTAATGTTACACATTAAGAAGAAAGGTGTAATGTTACACATTAAGAAGAAAGGTGTAATGTTACACATTAAGAAGAAAGGTGTAACGTATAGAATGAAAGATATAGATTAATCGAAAGAAACTTGACATTTTATTTTAATTAAATTGTATATGTAGGACTTGGTAACGAAATAGAACTAAATTAACTGTTACGTAAACAAACTGAGCTCTGAAAGCTACAGATGGATACGTAAACACCCAGGTACGTAGAGTGAGACAAAGATATTGTTTATTGTTAGTTAAACCATTACACTGGCTACTTCCTATACACTATGTAATTCCTTTACACTAGCTACTTTCTATACACTATGTACTTCCTATACACTAGCTACTTCCTATACACTATGTAATTCCTATACACTAGCTAATTCCATTACACTAGCTATTTCCATTACACTGGCTACTTCCATTACACTGGCTACTTCATACACACTAGCTAATTCATATACACGGGCTATCACTCCCTATACATTATCTACTTCTTTTACACTAGCTACTTCCTATACACTGGCTACCACTTCCTATACACGGTCTACTTCCTATACACTGGCTGCTTCCTATATACTATGTACTTCCTATACACGGGCTACTTCCACTACATTATCTACTTCCTTTACACTGGCTACCACTTCCTGTACATTATCTACTTCTTTTACTCTAGCTACTTCCTATACATTAGCTATTTCCATTACATTTGTTACTTTCACTATACTGGCTACTTTCATTACACTATATACTTCCCATACATTAGCTATTTACATTACATCATCTTCTTCCTATACACTGACTGCTTCCACTACACTATCTACTTCTTATACACTGACTACGTCCACTACACTATCTACTTCATATACACTGGCTACTTCTTATACTCTAGCTTCTTCCATTAGATTGTTTACTTCCTATAACTGGCTACTTCCTATACACTAGCTATTTCCATTACATTGGTTACTTCCAATACATTGGCTACCTCTATTACACTATCTACTTGCTATATACTGGAAACTTGGAATACGCTAGCCATTTCCATTACACTGGTTATATTTTATGCATAGTGTAATATTATGTTCAATCATAACCTGCATGATAAAATATAAAATCAGGTTAAATCTTCAACGCTAATTATGTTCATGATTTTAATATTAATCACTAACCGACATTGTAATCCAAGTTATGTATTAGCGGGAACATCAAACAAGATTCTGATGTAAATAAATCTCTATACAAAAAATTACTACCCACGTAAACTAACTGCTTACTTAACAACCAAGTTCTATTTCCGGTATTTTTCATTATTATCTCGTGTCATATTAGCCAAACGTCCCTTCCACAACTTAGAAAAAAGATAAAGAGTGGCGTGACTTAATTGATTAAACTTACCAACAAGCTGTGTACTAGAGTAATGAAAAGAACAGCAAACAGTAAGTCATTGTCTGTACATTCCAGCTTCTTTTATTGTGTGAGCTTCACTTTTCAGAAGACTGGCAGTGAAATTGTTGAACACAAATACATTTAGTGGACATAATAGTTATTTAACAGTTCAACATTTTGCTTATTTCAATTCGAATTTTAAATATCGACACAGGTCAAGCAGGGAAATCTAGGTCGAACAAGGAAATCTTTTTCCATCATTCATTTTCAGTGACCAAAGCATAATGTTATTATTGCACTCATGTGTTTTTAAAGCTCTATTTTTGAAATGATCCAAAGTTGAGGGAGAAACAGTAAATCAATTTAAAATGAAATAGGAAACTACATGCCAGCCTTATCTACACTGGTTGAAAGTTAGTTTGGTAACAATGATGACTATACAATGTGTATTGCAAACATAATATCACATACAGAATGTAAACTATTTATGTAGTATGAAAATGTTAGCTAGAATTTTAAATATTAAATATAATGGCATCAAATGTTAGACATAAACTATTAAATAGTAGCCATAATGATGGTTACGGAATATAAATAATATAAACTATGGAAACAGTATACATAATTATGTTTACAAGATATAAATGGTGAACACAACAAGTTTGAATAAAGAATGCAAGTTATGTATATAACATACGTAAATAATATGAGTGGATGTAAATAATAAGCATGATGGTAACATTTATAAAATGTACACTTTGATACAAGATTTAAATAATGAAAAGAGCAATATCATATACAGCAGTAGTGTACAATGATGGTCAGAGCATGAAAACATATTCACACATATAACATATATGTATATATAACACTAAAAAGTACTGGTGGTGGAAGGAGGCGGTCATATTTCTCTTTTAAGACCCCATTTGAAGAGGAAGTGGGCATGCATTTAGCTTTAATCACAACCAGAAATCTGATACCAACACCTGCCACGAGATGTCGGTTTATATCTAGTGGAAGAGACTATCGCTTTTCTTGCAAAGCAGCTTGGAGTGTAGTGAAATATTGGAGTTTGGTTGCTGTTATTTCCAAAGCTCTTGGTTAGGATCCAGATCGGATCATTGGACAGATGTCATTTGTTTCACATTACAGTTGGTTATGGTATGCGGCTTATCATGCAGTAGGTTATTATTGAAACAAGTATTGATACAGTTTATCATGGAGTACCTTATCATTCAAACAAGTATTGATACGGTTTATCATGGAGTAGGTTATTATTGAAACAAGTATTGATACGGTTTATCATGGAGTATGTTATTAGTGAAATAAGTATTGGTACAGTTTATCATGGAGTATGTTATTAGTGAAACGAATATTGATACGGTTTATCATGGAGTATGTTATTAGTGAAACAAGTATTGATATGGTTTATCATGGAGTAGGTTATTATAAACTATTAGAAAATTTTCTAAACTACTTTGTTAAAGAAACATTATATTTTAGGGACGACTTAACAAAAATAACTCCTTTATAGCTTTGCACGACTGCGTGAGTATTTGAAACAAACACACATACCAGTTGGAACTTTACATCCTTGTAAATAATATCATACTTGTTGCTACACTTCTAGGAAGATGGTGGGCGAAGATTGTACATGAGTTCCTGTTTATTCGTCACGCCATGGTGCTGTCTTTTCCTTTGTATCTGTGTAATTCGTATACATTATTTTAACGAATTTAATCAAACATAATAAAGTTTGTTATAAATTATTAAAAGTACGAAACTTTGGTTCGGCTGGTATTCATCTGGAGGACTAGTTCGAATTTTTTAAACCTATCAATGTAATTAAATGCAGTATAATTTAATAGAAGGACCTAAATAAATAAGGTCAACTAAGAAATAATCATATTTTTTTAAATAAATTAAGATTATGTTAATAAAATATAGATAAGAAAATTAATTATTCATTTAGAATCCGATATTGTACTTTGTAGAGGGAGACTTGGGTACCTAGTTTTTCAGTTATGCCAACCTTACTCCTCAGTGGATAAAAGAATGATTAAAAATATAACCAGTTATAACTGTCAACTGAGTATATGTGAAGAGCATAAACAAATTTGTTTATACATTCTAGAGATGCAACAAAAAATTGAGTTACAAAAAATATACTTTCTATATAAATGTTTATTTTACATGTGGTGCCATCTAATAGGCAAAATGGGTATCGCAAACAGAAATTTAAAATACATACTGAATACAGCTGAAATAAACATAAATGACACTTTCACCCATTGAGATGGTTATAAAAAGAAAGATTTTATTGAACATAAATAGCTTCTACCCTAAATTTATAAATTAAAATTTCATTTTACATACATATAGTTTGGGAACGGATTTAGTTTCCCAAATTGGTTGCATTTTCTAATAAAGAAAAATAAAGCTTTTCAATCTTCACTCTCAGTAGCATCAAGATTATGAAATAAAACAGATTATTAAGCCATAATTTCAGGTTGAAATTTTCATTCCTTGTTTTCTTTGGCAAAAACGGATTAATATACAACAAACCTCGAAACTCGTAAAAGAAAACGAACGGTACTAAAGAGGCCCGTTAGATGGCGCATGTTATTTACACACAATTAAGGAACAAGGCATGAGTCTAAGCAGTTTAAATCAAAATGAATGTATATAGAATGACAGTAGAAAAGGAAATACGTTGAATTTCAAACCTCAAACCCTCAATGTTACAAAATACTCCAAAAAATTTATAAATACATTAATAAACAAAGAAGGTGTGTTTCAAAGTAAAATTTGCAGAAGGTTTTTAATAAGTTAATGAATAACAAATAAAATAGGTATTAAATTCAAGTAAAAACATGTAGAGAGGAGAAAAATTCATTATGTGAATATTCACAAAAACATTAATTATAATTATGCAAGATTATTAAAATAAATTGTGTGAAACGATATAATTTTTTACTAAAACTGTTTTTGATACAAAAAAATGACTCAGTCACTAACATGAAAGGTTTATTTAAATAAATTTATACCGAATGATACCGAATGGTTTGCAAAATCTAGCTGAAAATTACAGCTTAAATTTGTTTCAACTTTTTACTATTACGCTTCTCATTATTAGGATACTAGTATTATGTTTGTCATTATTAGGATATTAGTATTATGTTTGTCATTATTAGGATACTAGTATTATGTTTGTCAATTATTAGGATACTAGTATTATGTTTGTTCATTATTAGGATATTAGTATTATGTTTGTCATTATTTCAATAGTAGTATTATGTTTGTCATTATTTCAATAGTAGTATTATGTTTGTCATTATTAGGATACTTGTATTATGTTTGTCATTATTTCAATAGCAGTATTATGCTCTTATGATTTACAAAGCACTTCGAAGAGGAAATTGATATAGTCATTCAATAATATTACGGTTACATTAACTAGGACATAATATAAATCATACAAAAATATTAAGAGTTATACATTATTATAATATTCTTCACAAAATCAACATCATAATTTATATACATGTTCTTTAGCATATACTCTTATTACCAAATAAACGTAATCGTTGATAGACTGCCTTTAAAGCAAATAAGTGTCTCCAATTTATCAAACTATATATTTAAAAAACTTGGTTGCTACTTTAATATGCCATTTTTAAATTGAAACTATTTTTCAATTAAATCCGTAGGATGTCGCTCGAGATATTTCTAGTTCCGTAAGAATTTTTTTGTTTGTTTGGAATTAAGCACAAAACTACACGATGGGCTATCTGTACTCTGCCCACCACGGGTATCGAAACCCGGATTTCAGTGTTGTCAGTCCGTAGACATACCGCTGTGGCACTGGGGGGGGGGGGGGGTAGCGTAAGAATTCTAGGATATGACAGCATTATTTCTTTTGGATTTTACTTATCTTTATAGTAGAATTTAGAGCAACATTAAACATGGGCGTTTATCTGAGACGTGATGGGCTTTATTTGAACTGGATATTAAATTTTTATTGTTCTGTATGAATTACACCAAACTGGATTACTCTGGAATGTCTTGCTGCACATACTTCAAACCTTCTAAAATAGTTCTATAAACTCAAAAACTAAAAAGAAATATTTTACCTTTATCCACGATAGCTTTATCAAAACTTAGTTAATCATACTTAGTTACTTTCTGATACAGAAAGTTAATGTTGTACTACCTTAGCGGCATCTATTGGTCACTTCCAGTATCATTGCACCAACTTATACATCAAATAAAATATTTAAATCGTGTTATGCGATGAATAAACTTGGGCCTGAATAGAGAATTAGCAGATTTTACAGTTATTATTATTTTTTAAGCATTTCGTTGAGGCTAACGTACATTTATGATAGCAGTTTTCATTCTGTTTAGAAATATTGAAATAATTTTGTCGATTCCAGTTTCATCTCAGATGTTTCGAAGTTTGTTGAGACATTTCTTTGGAAACAAAATATAATTCTTGATTTCAAGAGTATGTTTGTCAGTAAAATGATTTGAAACAGAGGTTTTATAAACTATTGTAATTAGAACAAAACACAAAGCCTCTCTATCAGGACCGCAAGGAAGTAAACACCCACGTGCCATGTATCGCTGGTTATGCGCGTTTCCTACTCTGCAACCTTTACAGATTCAAACGTGCTTTATTAACGCTTTCCATATTCGTAAAATTTACGTCTCTTGAGCCATTCATTTTGTGATTCCTCAATAGGTATGTTAATGGTTACAAATGCACACAAATCATTTATTACTATTCATGGTTATGACGATACATGTCTGGGAAGTATTATATTTTATGATGTAAAACGGACGTACTTGTTACAACTTACAAAATTTATATTAAAGGTGGATGTCGTAAACACATACTGTGATGGCTGTCACGCTACAAACATTATATTCAATAAGTATAATATGGTAAAAGAGATTAGTGTGATTCTAGCTTAATTTATATGCAGATCTATAGAAATAATTGAAATGGTATATAGTTTTTATCTGAGTACGAAGAAGCACAAATACTGTTACATCCTTCTTTAGGGACAAAAACTTCAAAATTTACAGCAAATACACCGTTTTTACTGAAAAAAAAATGTCATGAAACTTGTATTTATGTATCAATAAAATTATAATACAGAAATGAAAAGAAATATTCTTTCTTCCCTTTCGTCAATAATCATAAAACACCACGATTACCACCAGTTAAAATAAAAATATTTTCATTAGCAACGTTAATGTTTAATCTGCAGTATCTTAATTGTACCTCAAAGCTTTGCTTACATTTTGGAATAAATGATAAATATTCATTGTTTTCCAACATATACAAAATTTAGGTTAGGTTTGAATTGTAAACGACATTATTATGCAAAGCAAATTAAATATTATAAGATTAAGCTTTTGCACATTCGCCTGATTCTTTCATTTTCTTGACATTTACAAAGATTTTATTAGTTCAAATAGAACTAAGAATTAAACTTGATGTATAAAGATCGGATTATCGATTCCTCTCATACCGTTTCGGTTATCCTTAAGACTTTCTGCTAACTTCTCCTTTGATTTTCTCTTAAAATTGGAGTCATCTAGGAGTTTTGTTTTATCCATGTCACCTTTCTTTGCGAAAGTCTTTAATTCTGATGGTGTGGAAATTTGAATGGGAAAAGTATTATGTTGTGAGTACGATTCGTCAAGTTTCTCCGCTTCTTCCAATGGAATCACGCTTGTGTTAAAGGATTGTTCCATATTTTTTCCGTTACTCTGAGACTGTGGCTCGGGAAAAGTTGTCTCTGGGGTGTTGTCTTCCTGTACAGAACCCCTGTAGTAGTCCGAATAGATTGTTCGTGGGCGTGGTATTCGTGTAAGGGAGTAATCTTCCAGACGTAAGGTCACATGCGGAGTGTTCGTTTGGAATTCGGAAGGCTTAGGGGGCTTTCGGCAACAACATTTGACGCAACAAATAAGTAAAACGATTATCAGAACAGCCCCAAATGAAGCCCCCACTGCAATGAAGAATATCAGTTCCTCTCTCGCTAACTCAGCTATTGAAGTATCTGATTTGTTATTCGTTATGCTTGCTTCGTCATCACTAACTGGATGTAAAAAATATGACTCGATTTCTGTTTCCAATGATGTGGAGTTTATTTTAAGGTTAATCCCCACAAGATTATCAACAAAAGTTTCAAGTTCTTCTTTATTGTTGGTTGTCACTGTTACATTGACATTTAGAAACGTGGTGCATCGGATTTCATTTACAATCACAGAGCTTTGGTCATTGTTGTTGCTATTGTTCAATGCCTGTGCAAAGGCCTTTCGAAATTGATTAGATAACACTCCTTGATGGGTGCAGTTCCCTTGAAACAACAGCACGAGTGTTCGCGCATATTCTATTTTAATTGGCGGTGGTGTAATTGTGCTATCACGTATATCATGTGGAAAACTTAAATTGAAGGTGGTATTTTCTGCAGTTGATGTTGGTATAATGCTGGGAAGTTTTTCCGTATTATGAGCAAAGTCACTTGTTGAGTTAAAGAGTAAAGAAGAAAGTTCGGTTGAAGACTCAGAGTTTGGTGTAACTTCTGCAAATGTATACGATCTATTATATATATTAGTACCAAGTGAAATGTTCGAAGTTATTTGGAAACTAACAGTTCTCTGTCCTATTGTGGTAATATTATAATCTTTGAATGAAGAAGTTGATGCGTGAGTAACAGCTTCCTGTCCAGTTGAGGAAATATCAATATCATTCACCGGAGAAGTTTGTGATTCGATTGTAGTTTCTTTCTTTGTTATGGAAGTACCCAAATATTCGAACGAAGAACCTGATAGGTGGATAGTAGTTTCCTGGCCAGTTGAGGCAATATCAAAATTATTCACCGGAGAAGTTTGGGATTCATTTGTAGTTTCCTTCTTTGTTATGGCAGTACCCAATTGTTCAGATGAAGAACCTGGTAGGTGGGTAGTAGTTTCCTGGCCAGTTGAGGCAATATCAAAAGTATTAATCGGAGAAGTTTGGAATTCATTTGTAGTTTCCTTCTTTGTTATGGAAGTACCCAGTTGTTCGAATGAAGAACCTGGTGGGTGGGTAGTAGATTCTTGTCCAGTTGAGGAAATGTCAGAATCCCTCAACGGAAAAGTTGATGATTCAGATGTAGTTTCCCTCCTTGGTATGGAAGTACCCACTTCTTTGGATTGAGAGCCTTGTGGGTGGGTATCAGTTGCCATTCCTGTTGTGAAAGTAACTAAATAACTTGATGTAGAACTCGGAGTGTGAATAGGAGTTTCCTCTCTTTTCGGTGAAGAATCAAAATAATTGGATGAAGAAACTGGTGTTAGAGTAGTTGTTTCCTGTTTCACTGTGGATAAAAATGGCGATAGTTCTTGTTCTTTTGTAGTTATATTTAAGTTATTTGGAAGAAAAACAGATTGTTTGGTTGTAGTTTCCACTGTTCTTGTTAAAGTACTTAAATATTTGCCTGTAGATCTTGGTAACTGGGTGCTATAACTTGAGTTGGACAGAAATTCTAGAAAAAATAATTGCAATTAATAACAAAAAATCTTCAGAAACAAAAAGTTAACTTGAAATTCATTCATTAATGCAATAAACAAAAAATACAATTTATGTTCTCCGATGTCCAGGGATTGGATAAACATTCATTAGAAAGATATGCACTATAGTACAAGACAACCATCAGTGTTTCAATAAGTATATTGAGCCATTCATAATATATACATATGTATTTGCGATTCTTCAGAAATGTGGAAACGGGAAATTGATGTTGAAGTACTGTTTTGAGAATACTTCACAATGTTTATTTAGAACTAAGACAATTTAGTAGGCTAATATTTGGAAGGCTTCCTAATGCTAGGCAAACAGCCATACATCTATGGGTAGCACAAAGTACTTCATAACTTGATTACTGTACAGTAACACTTGCACCAGCAGAATGAAAACACCGTTTTACAAGGATGAAGCAGGATTCTAGCACCAACTGGTTACTTAATTAAGATCCCAAAACATGCACTTATGAAATATTCCACTTACTTATATACGCAAAGTAGACTTGCCATGTGATATATTAGGTTATTGCTCTAGCCCTATAAATAAGGGAAAGAAGAATAGTTTTACTACTTTCAAAGGGGCATGATAATGTCTGTATAGCAGGAGCACCGTTACCAAAGACCATTTCTGCCATCAGCACCTATCAACAATGGCAATCGAAAGAGAATACGTATGGCAATAGGCAAAACTGGAATCACCACGTCTACTGACTGACCAAGTGAAAAATACAGCTCTTCGGGCTTATAAAGTGCGACAGGCATCAGACTATGTCCCATACGCCCAATTCCTTCAAAAGTGGTCATAATTGAACTATTTACCGTTGCACCATATGAAGAACATTATAAAACCTGTTATATGCAGACAAATCTAGTTATCTCTGATGGAAACGGAAATGAACTGGTGACAACTGTAAATGACAAGTGAGAGGAAGTGATACTAAAATGTTTAAAGCAAGATAATAAAGGTGAGAGAAAATATTTTCTTTAATTATCTTTTAGGAGGTAGGTGGGTGTGAGGAACTAAATACTGATAGACCTCACCCCCTGGCTAAATCTGTGACTGCAATCATATGCGTATGGTACGTTTTGCTTTTTATCAAAGTAAATACAGGTCTGCCTGTCAAAAGTGATTGGGTTTTATCGTACTTTTTATACTCGCCCTAATGTATTATGGGTTACATTGTTTTGTACTGATAGTAGAAATAAAATGTAAGGAAAATTCAATGAGACACTTGATTTTGATTGTGTTGTTCCGACATTGCAAGCTGGTCGAGGTGGTAAAATTGTTGAAAAAAATTGTTCTTATTCTTTGTCCCCCCCAAATGACATAGCGATATGTCTGCAGATTTACAGTGCTAGAAACCTGATTTCGATACTCGTGGTGGGCAGAGCAAAGATAGCCCAATGTGTAGCTTTGTGCTTAATTACAAAACAAACAAACTTCTTCTTTGTTGTTGTTTTTTATGTTGTTGTAGGTATTAATCCCTTAAAACGTGCGAATAATATCCAAAGTACACATGAATATTGATACCGATTATATTTGCCTCACACTGTTGTATTTCCAGTCTAATGGCCAAAGGCCTCCAAAATGATAATGCTTGTTTATTTGTTTTGGAGCCAAATCACACTGGGCTATCTGCTGTGTTCACCGCGGGAAATCGAACGTCGAAATTAGCATTGTAAGTCCGTAACCTTACTGCTGTCCCACAAGAGGACAATGATAATGCAGCAAAGTATCCTGCAAACAAATTAGTTTGAAGAGTACGAGAGTGTCCTCAGCCATCTGCCTTAGGTAGCACAAGCAATGAATCTCAATCTGATTCAAGATGAAAGTTGCCTTTGCCATACAACAAAGAAAGCAACAAGAAAATGAAAACAGCTGACTTTCAGAGAGATATTGAGATTAATCTTACTTTTATGCAACAACAGGGACCTGGTGACGCTATAACTACCAGAGACAAACATTTGCAAATCCAAACAGAACATCTAACAATTGCCAGAAAATGTCACGTTGTAACACCTGTTTTTCAAAGATACCTGAAGTAGAAGGACCAAAAGTTGCTAGGAAAAAAAAGGTAAAATTAATTTCTACCCAATGAACTTATTGCCCAAACAAGCCATTTTTGTTTTGTTTAGAACACTTCCAAGGGTTTCATTAACATAAAATAATTTTTCTATCATTTCATTATATTAATTCTTTGTTTATTTTTTATGCAAAATGCTTCTTTGTTTTCACTTTCATTTTTTGTACTACATGTTTTCATTATTCATGCAATTGAAACTTTAGTTTACCTTTCAATTTTTTGTGTTTATTTTGTATTAAGTTTCTATGCGTGGTCTGTTTCCTCTCATAGGCACGTATACATTAGCAAATGTGGGGTTTTGTAGTAACTGAATGGATCTTGTAGTAAGTGAATGGATTGTGTGTAGCATTTCACTGTGATATCAAACGTTAGAGAGGTCGCGTCAGATAGTTCTCTCTGACTCTAGTTTATGGCACCCAATATTTATTGTTGTTGTGTTAGCGTAAAGCTATACAATGGGCTATCTGCGCTTTATCTACCGCAAGGAATCGAACCAATGATTTT